GAATGACAGTACCTTTGTGTCTATATTTTTACAGTAAATAACATCTAGCTAGGCCTAATATTTGTCTAATTGCTTGATTAAAATGCATATCAATACATGTACAAACCCAAAAGATAATCCTTGCAGGTTTTAACTGTAAAGGTATGAAAAGAGCCTAATAAAAAGAGGTAGGACATACAATTAATTCAGGCCTTCCTCAGGAGATTTCCTGTTGAAAATTAATAGTTTAAATAATGTTACCAAGTTTTAAATTCATCCTCATCAGTGGACACTATGACAAAGAATAAGTTATTAATTACCCGTTTCTTTTAAGTACAAGATAATTTAATTAAAATTATGCATTCCCTGACTCTGGCAGAGGATCAACTATAAAAAGGGAAAGAGAGGGGGAAAGTGCTTAAATGTACAGTGTAAAAAGACTAAATGACTCGCGGGGCTCCATTTTCAGTGCTTTATAGGCGGTAATCTGACACTATGCAAAATACCTAGCTGAATATTACCACAGTGTTTTGTCTGCTATGATTATCACTGTGCATGATTAAATGCACTGAGCATATCAATACTCTCTTTAACTTTTGGAAAGCTATTCTACAGCAAGCTGCTGCAGCAGAGGGTCATTGGTGAAAGTCATCTAAAGATTTAACATTTATATCAACTCAAAGTGAAATACAATTTACAGGAATGGAAGAATAAACAAATGTGATATGAATAAGAAGACAACACTATAAATACACTGAGTGGCCATTTTAGTATGACCACCTGACATTTGTAGGCAAATTAGCTATAATTAGCTATAATTTTGCGCTGAAGTAGCTATAGGGCCAGACCATTATAAATAGGGAAGCAGGTTGTTTACCACAACAGTAGAAGTGATTTGTTTCTGAAGATACGGGTAAACAACGCGATTTAACAGCCTTTGAACGTGGGATGATTGTTGGCGCTCTGAGCCATGGAGCGAGTATCAGCAAAACAGTAGAATTCGTTAAATGTTCAAGAGGGGCTCATTGTTAAACTGTTTAAAGACTGGACTGTCAGCCGAAAATCTGAGTGTGAACGTGCAAATTGTGGCCGTCAGTGACTAGTCAATTTTAGGGCAGAACGGAGAGTGGCAAGACTGGTACAAGACAACAGAAGGGCAACAGTGCAGTGTCAGATTCCTCGCATTACCTATCAACATCTCGTGGAGTCACGAGGCAGCCCAACGAAGTCATCTCGTGGAGTTATCTCGTGGCCCAACGAAGTACTAATGGGGTGGTCATAATAATCTGGCCACTCAGTGTATGTGAAAGTATTAATGTCTGATCTTCTTATATTTCATCCAATCTATTCCACCAAGTAAGAATACACAGGAATTTTGCCACTATCGAGATTGTCTTTTTTTATATGGTTACAATGTGTTAAAAGTGCATTAAAGTGTTTGGAGCACAGTTGTTTTGTGGTAAGCATATCTTCCTTGTAGCACTGAACTCCTTGGTTTGAATCCTGAGCTGGACACTAGCTGAATAGAGTTAGCATGTTCTCCCTGTTCTTGTGTGAGTTTTCTCCAGGTACTCGGGTTTCCTCCAATACTCCAAAGACTGCTTATAGGTCAACTGGCTCCTGTCTAAACTGGCGCTAGTATATGGACATATGAGTTTGGTTCCTTAGATTGTAAGCTCCTTGAGGGCAGAAACTGATGTGAATAGTATGTAAACGGATGTGTATATTGATTGGGCTACATAAATACTTGTAATAATAATGAATTCTAACAATAAACCTTTTCATATTTGCTCCTTTTGGTTCCTTTAAATAGTGTTTTATCTGTTATCTGTTTATTAAAAGTGTTTTATCTGTTTCAAGTACAAAAGTACAAGTACAAAAGAATATCTGTTGCTTCTGCCAGAAATTCAGTGAGCTAAAAACTTCCTGTGCTCTCTGCTTCTGCTGCACTCTTATAAGTTAGTAATGTTAAAAGCCATGCCCAGATCTTTCTGTGGACTACAAAATACCTCACCACCCCACTCCTTATTTTATTGGAGATGAGGAGAAGGAAAGGTGCCCTAACACAATTTCTGTCCCATGGGGACAACAATGCTCCTCCATAGATACAGTACATTGATTCAAGTGACATTAAAGGCAATTTTTTTCCACCCTCTCAATGTTAATGTAAGGACTTACCTTAAACCATGCCTCCTTATCAGATCATCTTTTTCTTTCCTGTGAATTTGAATGCATTTTTAAGATTTAACTTCTGAGTTTAGTGTCGCTTTAAGTGCTACTGAAGATGCGCTAAGATGAACAAATGATGTAACTGGTTTGGGGAGATTAAATGCTTGCTTGCTCATGATTCCTGAATGTTGGTACTCGATGTGAAGAAAATGGCTTTTTCATTTTTTTTACCCTCACACCTGTGCATGCCTGATAAAAAACCCTAGTTAAAATAAAATAACAAACCAGATTTGTTAGATTTTTTTTTCTTTCAAATAATTTTTATTTTTCAAATAAAAAAATTACAGAGGACAAAGGTAACCAATTACATAGCAAAAATCAAAGAACGGGTACATTTCCAAAGAAATTTAAATTCAACAGCACCCTCAGCAATTGCATATCAACTTATTATAAGAACATAAAGAAAAAATAGAGTATTCATGCACTAAATGACTGTCAAGAGCAACACTAAAAACAAACAGAAACAGAAGAGAAATGAAAGGGAACAAAAAGGAAAGAAAGGAAAAGAAAGACTAGGGTAGTAAGATAGATCCCCTCTTTCATGCCGCGTAGGATGATGAATCGGAGAGGCCAATATATTGTAACCAGGGGTCCCAGATCACTTGAACGTTTTTAAGTGTATCTTGCAATATGGTAGAAAGCTTCTCATGGGTCATAAGCCAATAGATTTTAGATTTAAAAAAGGCAAAAGGCACTGCAGTGGATTTCCAGGCCCTGGCAATTGAAATTATGGCTGCTAAGAACAAATCCTTTCTTTTAGAAATTTTGGGAATCAGTTTGTTTAACTGGACAAAGAGAAGGAGGATCCATAGGCACTTTAACTCTCAAAATGTTATAAATGGATGCAAAAAGCCTGTTCCAAAATGAATGTAAGTTATGGCATAACCACCAAACATGGTATATGGAACCCTGCTGTCCACAACCCCTGAAGCACAATGGTGAAGCACCTGGAAATATGCTGGCTAACCTGGTAGGAACTATGAACTGACAGGAGAATACTTTAAAGTAAGATTTGTTTGAAGAAACATTAGTTAAATGCAAGATAATTGAACCATACGGGATAGGCACCACACCCCTTATTAGATATGTGTACAAGAAAAATAGAGAAAAGTGGGGCTTTTAAAGTGTCCAACCTATGGAAATGTCCATCAAGACTACATGGTTTTGTATAAAAAAGATTTTATTACATTAAAATAAACATGATTTAGAGACTTGGTTACATTCAAAGTACCATTGGTTTGATACAACAGTGGATTAAAAACAAGCTACCCTTTATCTACCCTTGAACAAATCTTCTTTTTTGAATGTATGACCACTCTTTCATTTTTCAGTCCTGTTTATCCCCGGAAACCTCCCACCGGTTCACCTATTTGGTGATTGCAAGATAGCATGTGAGACTTAGGATCCAGCCATCTTTGTGAGCATGAAGTGGGTTTTGTATTGTTATTTTTTGCTACTCTCATTAGAGTACAATGATTTAGAACACCTCCAACCTTCCTGATGAAGCACTTACAGTTGTGAAACGCATCTAAGACTGGGCCCACAGTGGATTACACAGTTAACACATGGTTAAGGACCCTTAAGGAGTCTATTAAAGCATTATAAAATATATACACACGTGTGGGTACCATAAGGAGGTAGCTTGTTTTTAATGCACTATTGTATCAGACCAATTATACTTTTAATGTAACCAAGTCTCTAAATCATGTTTATTTTAATGTAATAAAATCTTTTTTATACAAAACCATGTAGTATTGATGAACATTTCGTATAGTTTGGACAATTTAAAAGCCCCGCTTTTCTGTATTTTTCTTGTATACATATTTAAAGAAACATTAAGCAAGCCCAAGAAACCCTCGAACACCAATGAGACCAAGATTCAATAGGAATGGTGATATTAAGGTCCTTTTCCCAGGCAGACATATAGGGTAATTTAAAGAGGAGGACTAAAAATATATTTTTACTTTTTTTGCTGTCATTGTTCTGTTGGGGAGCTTCCCACTCACTTTCTGCCCTAAAGACACTCAAACAGGAGGTGTTTAACAAATGTATCTTACCTCCTCTGCCAGTGCCAACTGGCACTTTTTGTACCCCTGACAGTAGTCTGTTGGATTCACCATATATTGTGCCGTTTAAGGGGCAAAAGCAAAACTGGTGTACCAAATTCTTTGTTATGCCCATTTGCATGTTTTTTCCTTCGCCAAGGCAAAAATACGATTTGAATTGCCATACTTAGCAAGACTCTTAACAAGAACTACCCTATTTTCTGCATATGAAGTGGAACTATCTTAAATGTAGTTTGAATTAAAAAAACTATTTGATGCTATGTGTGTGCAAATTTATCACAACAGATATGTTTCAGGCAGATTCATTTACTTTTTTTTTAATCTCACCCTTTTGCAGTACTTTCATTTTGGTCTTGCTGATAACAGCATTAGATAGTCCCTTTACATTTCATTGCTTTCTGCTTTCTTAACTTAGAATTACAGATCTTTTCCCAATCTCCAAATCAAAATACCAAATATATAACTGGAAAATTATTTGCTGTCAGATAAGAGAGTCCTGCCATCCCTTAATAATAGGGATTTGTCTGTTAAAGGGATGAGTTTGGCCTGCAGCTGCTGAATGGTGCTTATGTGTTGGCACTTCGATATGTATATCTAGTCTCAGAAGTGCTCACTGAATGATTTTATGCATGAATGTTTCAAATACAGCCAGCTAGAAAAGTAAAGATTACAGGCAGATCAACATCTTTTTAAATCTTTAACGCTAATATTTTTAATTTTCCATAGGACCAAAGAGATCAGAGCTATTCCACTTTGAAAACACCTCTCACATCAGTGACTGTTCATAACCTGAAGCCTGGAACGGTCTATGTCTTCCAAATCCGTACATCATCATCATCCCAAGATTATGGTAGTTACAGTCCAAGCATTGAAGTGGAAACACTAGGAGAATGTAAGTAATTTCCTGTAAGGTACTTGAACAAAATTGGATTCTTTTAGTGTTATAACTGATCCAGTGTTGTGGCAGGTCGGTGCTATATGCCCCTAGCTATTACTAAGACTGGTGCTAGGTTTTAACAAGAACATTTTCTTATATCTATAACAAGTTAGGTAAATAGCCCCAGATTCACAAACGTGGTACAGATACCTCTGTGAATATGTCTGAAAATTACCAAACGGATGCAACTAGTCAAACATAAAATTAAAATTTCTACTAGTAAACTAGTCCTTATACATAATTGTTTTATCATTTCTTTTTTCAGGAGAAATTAAAATAACTCTAAATAAAAATTGTTCTAAATATGAACAAATCATGAATAAATGCCCACCTGTGCATATTTATTTTTCAAATGTTCAATATTCACTTTTGTATCTCTATATTAAGCTAGTAAGTGTGGCTATGTGAGAATGCCAGCTCTATGTTGGTCTTATCAGGCTCCAATTTCTTACAAAGAAAAGTGTCCGAACAACTTTGTGAATTTGACCGCCAGCTGTCATTGATAATAATAACAGGTGCTAATGAGAACCATGCAAACTTGTAAGTGTGGTTTAAGACACAAGAAAACAAGTTTTAAGTGACAGTGAATTAGGCACATTTTCCTGACTGTGTAGCCCTTTGTCAGCTTGGTAGCCATATTGTATATATTGGTTGAATTACTAAAGTAATACTTCCTTAGTGAGTAAGGTATAGACACTAAGCTACATATGTAATCAATTTCTTTTTATTGATGGGTGATTAGGTCACCACACCCCTAATATCAATTTTATACTCAATGTTGCTAGAACTGGGGGTTTTAGGGTGCCAACTCATAAGAATTTAATTTTTAAGACATATGAGTTGCCACCATTGGTCCAATGTAAATGTTGCATCCAACAAATAAATTTGAGTGTCTCAATTCAGAGCTTTTCACAATCATCTTCAGGAATGGAGTTAATTTATTACAAGGCAATATGTGAAATGATTGCTGCACATCTGGTGGCAGGAAACTTCCTGTTGGTTGGGACTGCAGGGGGAGAATAAGATAGGCATTCTGGTGCTCTAGCTCTTTCCAGCTCTATTCATACTTAAGTATAAAGATTTAGCTGGAGTTGGGCTTTAAAATTGCAGTCATTGGTACTGTAATATACAAAGACATATTTAGAAGAAAAAAAAACAGCAATAGCAAAAAGGTAAAGTAACCTATGAGAATTGATATTTCATGTTTGACTATAGAACCATAGGGCTACTGTACGGGCTATTTACTATAGCTTGTACAGCTTCCGAAGGTGGCCTAGGGGCTCAGCTGAGCCGAAGGCATATGCTTCGGCTTGACTGAGCCGAAGTGACAATCAAAATGGAGCAATGTCAAAAAATAAAAAAGTGTGCCCCTCCAAACAATTGGGAAGGACACCAAATGTCGAGGGCATGTAGCAGGTATGGTGCAGAGGGGGACAGCGGAGCAGGCCCCTGCTCAGATTAAGGGTTTGGTATAGGATTTTAGGGGGGCTCCATATTTTAGGGTTTTGGGTATTGGGGTCCACTTTCAAATTCCTACCAGACATAAAGAGTCTGGTATAACTTTGAAGAGAAACCCCATGCTTTTCCTTTTTTTGGACATTGGGGGTTCCCCATAACATTTCTACCAGACCTAAAGGTTCTGGTATAATTTTGGAAGGAGACTGCACGCTTTTTTTTTTTTAAAGATTAAAAGTTTATTGAACAGAGCAAGACACTTGTCATCAGTTGTTTGGTTACATGTGATTGTACATTACAGGGACAAGGTATTGCATAGCTGGACGGATCTTTATGTTCCTTCGGTATTACTGTAATGTGGGCCTCTTGGGATTGGGGAGGAAAGGGGCAAGAGGCAGAAATCGCGTTGAAAGTAGGGAGTCTCGAAACTTGATAGGGATAGGGCGATAGGGAGTCTCGAAACTTGGTATAAAAAGGGGACGTATAGCCATCTGGGCTTGGCTTTCATCTGAAGGTAGGGAGTTAATGGTCTTAGCAATTTCTAGTAGGGTGAAAGGTTCCGAAAGAGAGGCGATAGAGGAGTCCGATAAGGTGGGTAGGCCAGTGGAAGAGATGTATGTACTTATATCAGTGAGTGAGGGGTCAGGGTGGGAGGAGGGATCGGGTGTGATATGATATAGAGTGGAGTAGTAATGGTGAAATGCTTTAGCTATTTGTTCAGAGGTGGTGGCCCGACCCTGTACAGGGCACGTGAGTTTAGGTACAAAGGTGCGCGCCTGTCTGTTCCTGATAGACCTAGCCAACAGTTTTCCACATTTGTCCCCAAATTCATGATAGGTGCGAAGAGTGGCATCCCGATAACGTACGTGGGAAAGTGACATGAGACGCATTAATTCAGCGCGTGTGTCTGATAGCTTCTGGAGCGTCTCATAGTCGGGGTTTGATTTGTGCTTACGTTCCAGATCACGAATGTCCGATAGGAGAGACGTGATTTGCTGTGACTTAACTCTTTTGAGACGAGCCCCGTGTTTCATCAGGATGCCTCTCAGTACACACTTCAGCGCCTCCCACTTAACGGGAGGGGGTGTTGGGTCCTGAGCGTGGACAAGTTGGAAGGAGACTATGCTGTTCTGAACATCAGAGAGTACTTCAGGATCGCGTAATAGGCTCTCGTTCAATCTCCAAGTGGGAAAACGTCTAGAGGTATCAGGCACAGACAGGGTAAGAAATAGGGGGAAGTGATCTGACCATATTTTAGAGCCAATGTGGGATTGCGGGTGCCAGCTTAGTAGTGAATGGGAAGCAAAAAAGTAATCAATACGGCTGTAGGTGTGGTGAACAGGTGAGTAAAAAGTGTAATCTTTTGTGGTTGGATGTAGAGTTCTCCACAGATCAACGAGCTGTAATTGATGTAAACGGAATTTCATCAAATTGATGGCCGGGTAGGACACGTGTGTTTTATGCGATGAGGAGTCTAAAGTGGGGTCAAAGACAAAATTGAGGTCCCCCCCCATGATCAAGAAGCCAGATGCAAAGGATTCTAATTTAGTCAGAATGGGGAGGAGTGCCTGTGTTGGTGACGAGTTTGGGAGGTAAATATTTGCCAGGGTGAAAACCTTACCATAGAGTGAACATTTGAGGAAGATGTAACGCCCAGATTCGTCTGCCAGTGTGTCCGTGACCTCTACCGGCAGGGAATTATGAAGGCCAATAGCCACACCTCTGGTGAGACTACACGCTTTTTTAATTTGCTTACATTAACAGTTTTCATTCTGCTTCACTACCTCTGAGGCAGTGAACAGAATGACTGAACCGCATGAAGAGCCCAATGTTCGGCAATTCACTCTCTGCTGTTTCACCCATTGGAGAATAAGGGTGAACAGTAGGGAACGTTCACTTCAGCCGACCAGATGTTGCATCAGCTGAGGCAAACGGCTCTTCCCTTAGGTTTGACTGGATGAGCTGTGGCTGTCCGGCCGAGCCAAAGGGAGGTGAGCCGAATACAGCTGATGTATGGCTAAAAATGGCCTCTACAAGGCTGCAGTGAATAGTTCAGTTCAGCTGGGGTGTTCATTCAGCTGCCTACAGCAGCTTAGTGAATAACCCCCTAAATGTTCTAGCTGTTTTGGTTCACCTAGCCAGGTGTATGAGGTCTATAGCTGTTAATAGCTAGTGATTAACAGCCAAGGAGCTGTGGCATGAGGTTCATTTGTGTTTAGCAGAATGGACATCCAGGAAGCATAACACAGTAGACTGATGAGTTCTGTGCATGAATGTTACAAGTATTCTTTTTACCATCTTGTGTAAAAAGCAGTGCTGTTCATTGGAAAGCCAAATCTCCATAAATTTACATTAATTTCTCATGCAATTTTCACTATATTGATGGCATGCATTGACCTATGATTCAGCACCACCTGTTTCATCCACAACAGATTAAACTGCATGTGTGTTTCTCCAGAGCATTTGGCGGCTGCTCAGTTTACTCTAGTACAAAAGCAGTACCTCTTTCGCTTAATTATTAATCAGCTACAAATGTGCCAACATAGCTCCAGTTATTGAAATTCCATCATTACAGTATTGTAATTTAGTGCACTAGTAAAATACAGAGTTTGTAATCCCAGAAATAAGATAAAACTGTAAAATGCTTAATTGTAGAATCGTGCTTGTTTATTTTTTCTTTTTTTGGAATGAATGTTAATTCTATTCAGCCATGCATCTGTTTTTGAAGGAATTCACTGACACAGATAATGTGAACTTATCTTGATACTTATACATTACAGCTGATGGATACAATTTTTGTGTGCCAAAATCAATTCTTCACTATTTTAGAGCAACTGTTAAACCAAGCAAGACTGACAAGTACTATGATGTAGGACTTAAGGTTACACTCTGATCGGGGACTGCTATCCAGGAAATTGTTTTACTTTTGTTTTTAATTTTGTTGGTAAACTAATGCAGTAACAATAAACAGGAGAATAATTCTGTACATCCTGGTGTAAAAAAAAACCTGTCAGACAAAAGGGAGGAAGGACATGTTTCTGTGTCCTAATATTCTATAGTTAAAGGGTAACTCTACACATGAGCTCTTTCTACATATCTAATTATACATACCAGCTCTACAAATATAAATCCTCAACCTTGCCTTTTCTTTTCCTATGCTTTCTGAGTTGTCATCTCAGGCTCATGTAAGGGTAAACATTACATTGTTTACATTTAGCCTGTTTGCAATCTGCTGTGTAACTCCACACCAGGACTGACAACAAGAGAGGTTTTGTGATCAGTTTGTGATCTTCTGTGATAACATGAGTAAAATACAGCATTGAAGTCATTCTATATGGCTTGTAATAACCTTAAAGGAGAACTATGGGGTCAGTGTTTTTCCCCATAGTTCTCCTTAGGGTAACGGGAGGACACAAACTAGCGTACTCCCGTTACCCTAAGCTCAGTATACCGCGAGCTAAAGCTCGCGGTATACTGAGACGCCGCAGCCGGAGCGGATC